CGTTGTTGAGACATCACAAAGTGCTTCACAGAATATACTGTAAAGTGGAGTGACTGTGTGTTTGTGGCAGCCAATATCCCACAAACAGTCATGGATTGAATGACCAAATAGTTTTTTGGAGGGGCGAGGGATTATTATCCCTGGAAAGCGATCCGTCAATCGACTAACAACCGGGTTCCTACTTACTGCTAGGTAAACAGAGCCGTGTGGAGTAAGGAAACTTGGCTAAAGTTTCGCCCTGCCTGGGAATCAAACTTCTCGTTTCTGAGGCGAGCCATAAACCACTACACTACAGGACTCCATCCGAAGGACAATAATCTGCAATTTGGTTAAGTTTGTTGAATTTTGGAATCAAGTGAACCTTTCTTGGCAAAATTGTTCATTGGGACCCAATCTTATAATGATCCCATTGATTTGCACTTAACAAGTCAAGCGCTCATTCACCTTTGGCACGATGGAGAAACATGTACAGACACAATGTATAAAGCAACAAGACAAATTTTTGCTAGGTTTAAGCTAGCCAAAACAAGAATTATTTTGCTCAATAATAATAATTGGTGAAAAATGCACTTAGCTTAACTCTTTGGCTGATCGCTATCTTCCATTATGCATTTAATCAAAACTTATTCAACTGTAGCTCAGTGGTTAGAACACTCGCCTCGCAGGCGAGAGACCTGAGTTTGATTCTTGGCAGGGCGAAACTTTGGGCAAGTTTCCTTACTCCACACGCCTCTGTTTACCTAACAGTAAGTAGGAACCCGGTTGTTAGTCGATTGGCGGTTGGCTTTTCCGAGGGTAATAAACCCTTCAAAAAATAATAATGATAATTTAGTCACTTAATCCACGACTGTTTGTGGGACACATGCACACACGCGCGCACACACACACACACACGAGATTATTATTCGTGTCATGATGAGTATTTGTTGAAATGTGCAATTAAAAGATTTTGGGGGATACCAGCCACAGCACGTTCTCCCAATAGCAGGAATGATGTGGCAGCCGGCCCAGCCCGGCCCGAGTTACAGCGAGAAATGATGAAACATCAGCCACGACTGCCCCTGACACCAGAGGAATGCTCCGCTCCTTGGTAGTTGATGAGCTCCAGCAGAAAGTCACAATTTGCACGACAATTTGTGCTAGAATAATATCAGTGTCTCAACGGGAGAGAAATGCAAGACAGTAACTGTGTAACTGCACTGAGGAGATGGAAAAAAGACAGGGTCTAGAAAGATTATTTCCTCTCTTAAATCAGCACTTTGTACGCTTGCCAGAGAGCATGCCAGTAGGATTGCCGGGGGAGCGCTCAGTGTTTCAATATGCACCACCTGTCTATTCAGCCACGTTGAATGAGCGATGGGCACAGTATTTCCATTGCTGGGATTTGGAGTGCAACGTCGTGTTCATCATCAGGACCAGAGTTTGTCACACCAGCACCGCACTGGAACTGACATCGCAGCATTAATACCAGGGGAGCAGCCCAGACACCCACACGTGCACTAGGCTGGGAGCCTGAGCCCTGTTTGTGCAAAAAGTCACAGCAAATTTACCTTCAGACACACCAAGGGAACAGAGCGAGAATGTCAAGTGCTTTGAGCCGTCCTCCTGGTGTGAAGGGGGCTATATAAATGTAAATGTATGGCATAATAAGAGAACGGGCTTAGCAAAGAGCAATTTCAGGACACTCACCGGGAAACATTTCTTTACATAAGAATAATAATCCTGACATTTGATATTGTGTCTTATCACGTCTTTGAGAAGTTTCAAAGCGATTCGCAGAATATACTGCAAAATGAATTGACTGTATATTTTGTGGGCGAAACATGGCAGCCAATTGTGCACAGCAGCGTCCCACAAACAGTCATGGATTGAGTGATCACATATTTTTTTTGAAGGGATTATTACCCCAGGAAAAGCGATCCACCAATTGACTAACAACCAGGTTCCTACTTACTGCTTGGTGAACAGAGGCGTGTGGAGTAAGGAAACTTGCCTAAGGTTTTGCCCTGTCGGGGATTGCACCAAGATCCTCTCACTTGTAAGGCGAGTGCTCTAACCACTAAGCTACATAGAAGGGAAATAACCAATGACACTGGTTAAATGGTTGAGGCCAGAACACTGGAGTCATTTAACAACAACGGCTTACATTTATACAGAGCGGATAGCATCTTGGGCTATGGGGAGATGTCTCCTCTTATCAGAAGGTGTCGTGAGGTATTAGAAGACATCTCAGGATATTGGAAGACATATTGGGAGACATGGAGGGAGATACAAAAAGACCCTTAGGGTATACTCAGTAACTCACAAACAGAGTAACCGGATCTGTTTAATCACACCAAAGTTTAAGCTGTCTCGCTCTTTAGATACTGATCGTCTTTGCTCTTCAGTAATAACTTTTTATAGTTTTATATTTTCAACATTTTGTGTTACATCTTTTTATTAGTCCCTGCTCTTCACAAATCCCACCTAGTTACAATCTCAGACATAGCCGGCACTGTTTTTGGTTCCCTCATTAATAGTTAAACATGAAAAAAAAACTCCTCGCTAGAACACACGAGAGCTCGCTTTCCGTCCAGATCCCAAATGGAAATCTTCCAGTGTGAAGCTCTGGCTGTCTCACAGCTGGAGGTCGGGATGATCTAATGTCACAATGGCCCATTTGGCTCACTGACAGACAATTAGCACACACCATGTGCTTAACATGTTACTACAACTAAATTGGGAACTGTCAGATGCTGAGATACTTTGAACGTGAAACAGCTGTGGCCAAAATCACTGGACGGGTGTGAACTCTGCTCAGTCGAGACAATACCATCCCTTCTCAATAACAAAATAGTTATCCATCGTTATGTTTGACTGACAACTTGTCAATGTGAAGTGTCCCAAGAATAAGACCTGTGGCCTTCTGCTTTCAGTATGGATTGGTCTTTTATGGATGATGGGCTTGGCAATGTCAGAATTGAGTTAATCTTGTGTGGGGGGCTTGTTAGTCTGGTTCCTGAGCAAACCCAGAGCATGATTCCACTATTACATCTGCCCCTCCCCAGAAGAACCTTGTACCCTGAGGACCCTCAAGTGTTTCAACAGCTCATTGCTGCCCCCCAATGGCAAACGTACAGTACTACCACAATACAAATGACCACCAAAAGAAATAGTCAGTAACATCTTCATGATGGTAAAGAAACTTTGGAGCATTAAGCAAGAGAAGTTCTAAGGAAAAAGGTGGCTTCTTCCAACAGCATCAATCTGTTGGTGAAAAACTATTTGTTCCAATGTCCAATATGGGGTCTGCACTAACACCTGGTCTCTAAACAACTGGGGACTTATAATAATAATCCTCGTATTTGATGTAGTGCCTTTTTCACGAAATTCAGATGTCTCAAAGCGCTTCACAGGATTTACTGTAAAGTGTTAGTCACTGTATATTTTGTAGGCGAATGGAAGGAGCCAAAGGTGTCGAGGATTGTGGGGAGAACAATCCGTGGGGAACCATCAAAGAAACGAAAGCCAGGGCCATCAATGGGGAATACTCTTCCCACTCTGCAGGGACTGATGGCTCGAGGCTCAGGGATGTAATGCATTCTGTGGGCTAATGAGGAAACTATGCTGCAGACACTTCACTGGGATTACGTGTATTTGTTGAACTAATACTTTCCAAAATCACTTGTGTTTTTTTTAAATAAATATTCCTGTGGGGGGAAATTCATTACAGCTAGGTACAATTAACATGTCGTTTATTTAATACAATGTGATCTTTATTTCACCTCAAATCCTATAAGCTCCAACACACAGCCGGCTCCTGATTTAGTATCGAGTGCTACGGGGTGCGATAATCACCAGCAGCAACTTCAGACACTGTGCAGACTGTGGTGCTGATTGGATGAAAGAGACTGTGAGACTGGGAGCTCGATAGGTGGGGAGAGAGAGATCTCGCCAGTGAGTGGGGGCTTGTACCATGCCTACCTCCACCACATAAATAAAATCAAATGCCTCCTGTCAGCAGGACTCCTAATGAGATTCTTCAATATAGGCCTGCGATCTCAAAGTAAGGTGGAATCTCTGGTGGGGCTGGCAGCTCCCCTCAAGCCATCAGAAGGCCAGTGTACGTGTCAATCCTGAACCCTGTAGAACTTGGCACCCTGCCCAGATAAACTAATGATTTTTTTTTAACAAGCAAGCAGCATACCAAAAACCATATCCGCTCACTAAATGCTCCTCGGGGTATGTACGGCAAGATAGGTTTCCAAAAAAACAAGGAAACGTTGCTGATTTTGCAGAAGCACACGGCGAAGTTCCTCAGTCTTAGCCACTTGGAAATCATCTGCTGTCGAGGTGGAGGGGGTGTGCCTATGGCCTTCAGCGTTCCCCAGAGGCAGGGGGTGTAATAATAGTAATCCTCGCATTTGCTAATAATAATAATCTTTGCATTTGATACAGCATCTTATCACGCCTTCGAGACGTCTCAAAGAGCTTCACAGGATAAACTGTAAACTGAATTGACTGTATATTTTGTGTACATAAGGCGTAAGGTAGTGTCTTACCATGTTGGAAGGACGTCTCAAAGTGCTTCACAGGATTTACTGTGGAATGGAGTGACCGCGTATTTGTAGGCAGGCGCGACAGCATAATCATACACAGCAATTTCCCACAAACAGCCATGAAACCATTGACCAATTTTATTTGGGGGATTGTTGGCCAAGACACCAGGAGAAACTCTCTTCATTGCAGTGAGCATGTGTACATATTATTAGCAGTGACACCTTGATGTAGTCTGACACTATATTCGCAGTGAGCACCTCTACACAGTCTGATATTAGCAGTGACACCTCGATACTGATATTAATTATGAAAAACAATTGTAAACATAGATGTATATTAATTGACTTGGGCACATCAAGCCGAGGGTGGGAGTGCTGGGACTGGATTGAGAATGTTGGAAATTCCAAGAGAGAATTAGCTGGAATTGATTAACAAGGAGTTATTTAGTAATAATTACTCACGGAGTTCATCAAAGTGTGTCTCTATTCCATCAGGACCTGGCACTGAGCAGATGAGGCGAGCTTTCAAGAATGTGCTCCATTTATTCACTAGACAGCAGTGACCTCCATCATCATTCTGTAAAATACAGGGAGTCAGATACAACAAACAAGATACCACTCGTTTGTCTGGGTATCGGGTTGTAGGTTCAAGCCCCGTAATCGAGTTGTTGGTAAAATGATATGACTATAACACAACAACAACAACAAGATTCCATTTATAGAGCGCCTTTCACGTTGGGAGGACGTCCCAAAGCGCTGGATAGTTGGGCCAGGACCCGAGCAGGGGGGAAATGGTCAGGGTGAGGGGAGGGAAGGGAGGGAGCGAGGAGGGGGTAGAGAGTCGAGAGGTACGGTCAAGGTCTTGAGACCGGCCTTGAAGGAGGAAAGGGAGGAAGCGGCGAAGGCACTGGGGGATGGAGTTCCAGAGCCTAGGGGCTGAGAGGCTGAAGGCCCGGCCACCGATGGTAGGGCAGTTGGGGCGGGTGATGTGGAGCAGACCGGAGCCAGAGGAATGGAGGGTACGGGCAGGTAGATAGGGGGATAGTAGGTCGGAGATGTAGGAGGGAGCGAGGCCGTGAATGGCCTTGTAGGTGAGGATGAGGATCTTGAATTCGATCCTCTGGAGGATGGGGAACCAGTGGAGGCGAGCGAGGGTGGGAGTGATGTGGTCCCGAAGCCTGGTGCGGGACAGTACACGAGCTGCAGAGTTCTGAATGACCTGCAGCTTGTGGAGGGAGGTGCTGGGAAGGCCGGCGAGGATAGAGTTCCCATAGTCCAGCCTTGAGGTGATAAAGGCATGGACCAGAGTTTCAGCAAGGCGTTGAGGGCGAGAGCGCTAGACATTACGTTTAAAAAGGTGGAGAAAAAAATAAAAGATCTCAGTAAATAAATTGACCTGCCCTTTTCTCATCTCCCTGTAGGTTACTCCATTCTCACTGGTCACAACAAGAACAACTTGAATTTACATAGCGCCCTTTGCCCAGGGCAGAATCTCTGAGTACTTAACAGTGTCGGAGTCTGACGCCAAACCGGGGGGAGGTAAATAAGAGAGGTTCTGCTGAAGAAGGCCCTTCAACCCGGTTGATCTCATCCCAAATACCCACTCTATTACTTTACCATCACAGCACTGAGTTGTTCCTTAAATGAGTCCAATGCCCTGGTGTCTATGACCCTTCTTGTTCCACGAGTTCATTACACCTGAATCAGGAAGTGATCAGGGCACTGGGATCAGAGGGAAGTGAGGAGAGAGTCTGTTTGGCTCTGGTTGTGTGGTTAGCACTGGGGTGGTGTAATTCGGAGAGAGCAGTGACTGACGCGCCTACATACCAGGCAGATTCTCCCGATTCGGGAGTAGACGGCCGAGCTGCCGCTGTCACTCGCTTTTTCACGGAAGAAAAAGTAAAGTTTGTCGTCGTTTCGCTCGCTGCTGTCGGGAATCAGTTGGGCGTGAATGAACTCTGGGTCTGAAACAAGAAGAGTGAGGAGACAGGCTGTGAGCACAGGCATGTGGACAGAATATGTATCTTGTCTTCTCTCCTTCAACTGAGGAATGGTTCTATACACTCTAGGAGGCTTCCCTCCCAACCAAGAGGCATCAAGGCCAGTTGTACTTTTTTGCCACAACAACAACAAATTGGATTTATAAAGTGCCTTTCATTTCAGGAGGACGTCCCAAGGTGCCACATCTGAGACTCATGACTCATCTTCTCAGAATAAAACGGCTTAGTTACCTGGGGAGAATTTACGTTACTGTAAAAGCAAAGTGTAACTCACACCCTCCACCAACCAGTCAGCTTCAATCCTTTAGGACACCACTAGGTGTCCCAGACACATCGCTGACCACTCAGCTGATCCAAAGTTTAAGTGAAGCCACTTGATGAGATAAGACCTTTAACACACACACACATACCAAAGCCTGAATCAAATCCTCCCCAAATAAATCAAGTAAATCAAGAAATGCTAGGAAAGATTGGAGCTCTGCGAGCATTTAAGCCAAAGCATTAATATATCAATGGATGAAAAAGGCTAATTATACTTTGGAAGGACACAATAGCATAGGAACTGACTGCCTCTTAAATAACTTACGACAGGACGTGTAGACCACTTAACATTCTGATTGCACTTGCCACTCTGAACCGTGCTTTATTGTTATAATGGGGGAGAGGGAAGAATTTTGCACTAAACCTGGCTTCGTAAATCACCAGGGAATGAGAGCAAGTACGTGATGCAGAACTACAGCTGAAAATTCTGGAAAGTGTGTAGGAGCCATTCTGAGAGTGACGCATGTAGAGAATAACTAGTCACTAATCCTGACAAACACACTGCTGTGAGCCATGCTGTTATTACAATGGAGGGAAGAGGCTTCAAAATCACACGCATCATTTCAGGAAGAGCAGGGAGGAGCCTTGAGTCCACTGGATTTAGGATTTTATTTCAGTCCGAAAATAATATTTACCGGCACTGACATGGGAATGTAGCAGATACAATGACACTGAATCCTGTGTGATCAGAGATGGGGATAAGTGATGATTGTTAGATCCCAGTGCTTCACAAGTTCCCTATTATCAAGTGTTGTGACTATAAATAGCAAAATATAATGATTCTTACATCATATGGTACAGTGCCTTTCATGTCAGGAGGGTGTCTCAAAACTCTTTGCAGGATTTATTAGCAAAGTGTAGTGACTGTGTGTTTTGTATTTGTCATGTAGGCAAACATTGCAGCCATGGGAGTTAAACAACAAATTCATATGGACTTGTATTTACGCAGGATAGTATCTTGGAGCGCTGCAAGATGCTAGGGAGGAAATGGGTGGAGGGTTGAATGCACCAGAGGGCTGGTGGACCCAGGCTCTTGCCCAAGATACATAGTATGTCCTGGTCTCAGACAGGAAGGAGTTGATGTGAGGCGGGTTACACAAGGCCTCTGACAAAGGCCTGGCGAGCACTTCCTCAGCTGGATTCCTGAGTTATTGCCTGAGATCTGGGGGGTGGGGATAAGGGGCCAAAGACAGATGGAAAAGAAAATAGTCCAAAACTATATATTTTTTCATGGAACAATTTTTTCTTTTGAAGTTTTTGAAGTCCTTGGTTGAGGGCATTCTGGCATCTTTTCCAGATGTTTTTGATGTGAGGAGCATTTCTTTGTAATAGAACTCGATGGTAATGGTCCATTGGAACTCACTGTGTAGACTGGGAGCGTGCTCGGGGCTGGGATGTATGTCGCTTTGTGGATTAGATGTGACGCTGAATGAATAGGTGGGATCTCCACAGGCAAGCCAGATTCGGAGCAGCTTATTTTAATAATAAAAATCCTTGCATTTGAATCAGTGTCTTTCACATCGGGAGGGCGTCTCAAAGCACTTTATAGGATTCACAGTTGGTGCAGTGACTGTGTGTTTTCTAGGCGATCAAAAGGAACCTGAGCGTGACTGGACCCTGTGGAATTCAACTCTGATAGTTGCCGCATTCGCCCATGAATGTACAGTCACTAAACTTTACAGTGAATGGTGTGAAGAGCTTTGAGACGTTGATAGTAGTTGCACATGAGTCCTGTAGCTCAGTGGTTAGAGCACTCGCTTTGCAAGCGAGAGACCTGAGTTCAATTCCAGGCAGGGCCAAACCTTGGGCAAGTTTCCTTACTCCACACAGAGCCTAATAATAAACCCTCCAAAACTAAAAACAATAATAAATTGGTCATTTTCAATCTACCACTGTTTGTGGGACATTGCTGTGCGCAATTGGCCGCCGCGTTCGCCCACAAATATATAGTCAATTCACTTGACAGTGTGCTCTGTGAAACGCTTTAGGACGTCCTCCCGACGTGAAAAGCGCTATATCAAATGCAAGGATTATTATTATTATTATGAAGCACTTGATGATGTTTGAACACCCTTCAGAGGCTACAGAAACAAACACTTTTTTTAAAATCATAATAATGTGAGTTCACATAGCACCTTTCACGTAAACATAGAAGAGAGAAGGGAAGCACCCATTTTCAGGAGAGGAAGGGAGAAAAGTGACCGGGAGGAAAGATATTCCACAGGAAGACCGCAATGTGGAGAGGTGGACATCACAAGGCTCATCATAGAAATGAGGAGTTCAAATCATCCTTACATTTCATACATTGCCTATAACGTCAATATACGCAGTCACTAAACTGTACACTAAATCCCATGGTAAAACATTTTGACAGCATTATAAGGCACTATATCAAATGTAAGGATTATCAAACACCTCAAAGCGCCTCATAGGTTATTGTGTAAAGTGTAGTTACTGTGTATTTGTAGGCAAGAGCAGCAGCCCATCTGAGCACATCAAAGGTCCCCAAAACAGCCATGGAGTGAGTGAACAATTTTATCTGGGAGATTGTTGGGCAGGACATCGGAAGAGAGAGAAACTCCCTTCTCTTTTCCAATAGTGCCATGCGATCTTTAACATCCAACAGGCAAGACCTTAGTCCAATATCAGGAAGACCATTTGCCATTGGGCTTCTACTGTCCATCTTTACCCAATTTATTTCTTATAATAATCCGTAAATTTGATTAGTGCCTTTTCACATCATCAAAACATCTCAAAGCACTACACAGTGCTACACACTATTGTAGGCAAACACAGCAGCCAATTTGTGCACAGCAAATTGTAACACTGGGATTATTATTTTGATTGAATTTTCGAGTTCTCATTCTCTGATCTCAGTGGGCAACTCAAACTTATGCATCCGTGCTGTGTGCTGGTACAGCTCACTCGATTCCTTGGCTGCTTCAGCATGAAAGAGAAATTGAAAGGGAATTTAAATGAAGGAACATTTTGTACTTGAGAACAGATTGAGTTCTTTGCAGGGCCCAAAGGGGTAAGAGCTGCTCGCTCTGTCCTTCGAGATTTGGGCTTGAAAAAACATATTCAAAAATACTTCTAGTTTTGTATCAATGGAATCAGGACACACAGAGAGAATGATGGCTTTGCCCACACAACAAAAAATATGTGCTAAACACTGCTGAAATGAAATAAAATGTCTATCTTTTTCCTCAACCGAGGATTCCCATCCACTGTACTAGGCAGGGCACTTCACCATGTCCGTCCTATTTCCCGCAACTCTGCCCTCACCCCTTCCCCCTCTTCCCAGAACCGTGATAGGGTACCCCTAGTCCTCACCTTCCACCCCACCAGCCTCAACTTCCAACAAATAATTCTCCGCCATTTCGGCACCTCCAGCGTGATCCAACCACCAAATGTATCTTTCCCTCCCCTCTCAGCATTCGTCCGTGACTCCCTAGTTTATTCCTACATCACCACCAACACTTGCTCTCCTCCCCATGCCAGCGCAGGAGATGCAATACTTGCCATTTCACCTCCTCCCATACCACTGTCCAGGGCCCCAAACACAGAAAAAAAATACACGTGTTTTTGATTTAGCATTGGAAGGATGTCTCAAAGGGCTTAACAGGATATATCGGCACTGTGTTTGCCTACAAAACACTGTTCTTTACAGTATATTTTGTGAAGCACTTTAAGTCAACCTTTCTTCATATTTTCTATTCTCCTCAAAGCAATTTAGAAAGTTGTGCAGGAGCTCAATAAAGGATGGTAGATAGGGGCGTAGGAGGGAGATGAGCAAAGCTAGAGAGGTAGAGATCTGTAGGAGTAAAAACCCCAGGGATATGGAGGGAGAGGGCCGGTAAAAGGATTGCTCTTAAAAAGAGCCAGTGCAGACACGTGCTGTAAGTTTCTGCAGTTCTAAGCACGGAAAGGGAAAGTGCAAGATTGAGGAATTCATGGAAAGCACGGGGACCAGGTGGCTAAAATCTCACCCAATCATTGAGGAGAAGTTAATGGCATTGGTAGCTTTTTGCATCCAGTGATGAATGAAATATAGATCCACACCATTAGCTTCCAAATGCTCGGGGGGTGAGTTTCACCGTGGAATGCAGAGAGCAAGATGAACAAATTGACCTGTAGGAAGAACCGAGAGGGAGAAAGAAAGAAAGGGAGAAAGAGAATATAGAGACTGGACCAGATAAAGAGACAAAGAGGACTTGAGAGATAAATAATAATAATACAAATCTTTCGTTTGAACAGTTTCATGTCATGAGGACATGTCAAAGTGCTACACGGGGAGTGTAGTGACTTAATTATGTAGGTGAACAGCCTCACCTCAATATGTTTGTAAGATTTATGGATGTAAACACAAAAACAATCAGAAACACAAGAAGCGGCAGTCACAGGGTCAAGGAGGGCAAAAAGAGGGCCCAGAGAGAGAAATACTGATAATTAACACAGAGCAAGGGTGAGAGAGGAAAGAGAGAAGGACGGATTTGTATTATATAGAGGGAAAGAAAAAGGAAGAAAAACAGAAAGTGAGAGAGAAAGACAAAGACAGATAGGAAGAGCATTGCCTAGCGTGTGATGCATTTACCTGACAGCAGTCAACCACTGCTCATTAATCTGTCTGCACTGCATCAATGAGGATTGCAGGCAGTCAGGCACACACAGAACACATAATTAGCCTCCAGTGTAGGTAAGAACAAAGCAAACTCAGAAAAATACCTCTCTAGACTAAACCAATATAAGGTATGACTGTGCTTGCCTGTGTAATTCAGTAAGTCCCTGTGCAGTGGAGAGCGACCACATTACACAGCAAAGGTGATCTGTCACTCAACTCAAAGTCCCCGCAAATCATGGCCTGACAGTGACAAGTTCAGCTCTGCTTTTCCGTTGCTCACTCTTGCATGTGAATCATTGAACAACACAGCTGCAGCTCCTGCAATAGAGCTATCTACTATAAACCCAATTCCTGCAGTGAGAGCACGATTGTTGAACAAGCAGTCATGAACTAAATGTGTCTCACTCCCAGTGGGGAGCTCACGGCAGAGGCTTGGTTCAGGCGTCCAAAATATAAACACATTGCTTAGTCAGTAGAGGTGGGTTTGGTAGGTGGGGGGAGTGGGGTGAGGGGGGAGAATCCAAACTCAAGTAAATCCCGTAAGTTGCTTGGAGCCAAGGGGTACCTGCAATGCAGGAGCAACTGGTTCCCGCCTCAAAATCAGAAACTTCATCGCAAGCTATTTAGCTGGTTAAGACGCCAGCAGTTACCCCAACGTGCACTCTGGGGTCTCCAAGCCTTGGCTCTTGCCAACCTGCAACTAATACTTTCTGGAATTAGGTAAGCAGGATGCGTCCCTCCAGAGAGAGTCATTCACAAAAACAATCACTACATCTGACAGTAATTCAAGGCAATTGGAGTCCTGTAGCTCAGTGGTTGAGCACTCGCTTTGCAAGCTAGAGACCTGAGTTCAATTCCAGGCAGGGCGAAACCTTGGGCAAGTTTCCTTATTCCACACAGAGCCTAATAATAATCCCTCCAAAACCAAAAACAATAATAAATTGGTCATTTTCAATCCACGACTGTTTGTGGGACATTGCTGTGCGCAATTGGCTGCCGCGTTCGCCCACAAATATACAGTCAATTCACTTTACAGTGTGTTCTGTGAAGCGCTTTGGGACGTCCTCCCGACGTGAAAAGCGCTATATCAAATGCAAGGATTATTATTATTATTATTATTATAATTTGGTTTGATATAACTCTACAAAATTGTAAGTTCTCTCTTGCTCATTGTTCACACATGAATCGCTCTGTCCTGGCAGCATGTATCATAAGACGCTGCTTCATGTCATTGTGTTCAGTGAGTAAGCCACAGCTGGGTGGATAAGGTATAATATATATGTGTTCGTTCCATTACAGGAGCTACTTAACTGGTTTAAGAGATTTCACTTTTAAGTGCTAACCATGAATACTCAGGCAGCGAGACTGGAGACTGGTGTTACAGTCACCCTGGCAGCTCCAGAAACCTCTGTATTTATACAGTTGTTGAGAGCCAGCTGACGCCAGTTGCTAGATTCTCCATCAATGTTGGTATCAAGACTACACAGCAAACCTGGAGTCTGGGGAGGCAACTGGAGGCAGTGGAGGGGGAAACGCCTGTCCATTTCAGGCAGGTGATTAACATTAACATGAACTGGTCCAGTGACCAGGCGACTGTCTCCGTTACTCACATAACTGGAATTCAAGCTCGACCACCTGTGCCCTCACAGGAACAGGTTCCCTCCCCAGCATCTCCCCAACTCCGTGATCTCCTCCTCTTACCGCTCCCCCCTACCCCCAATCACCTCTACAACCGCTCACCCCCATCCCCACAACACCATCTCTCTCTTTCAATCCTCTTTCAATCCTACTTGAACACGAACCTCTTTAACCACGCCTGCACACCTCCCTCTTCCCCTCCTTTGCTCAGTGTCTGACTCTGTCTTTATGAAGCTCCGAGATGTTACCCTATATGAAGGCTGCTGTTTAAATGCTGTTGCCGTGATGTTGATAAAGGACTGATCTAGTGAGGCTGCCGAGGAAGCAGACTGCACACAGTAAAGGGACCAGTGAACCTGTGGCCTATCAGGTTGGGGAGAGGATGATGCTGACAGTGTACATTGTTTGTGGCTGGGAGTATTAGTGGACGTTGCTGTCTGTAATCTGCAGCTTGTGATTTTGTCTGGAGTCTGTCACACAATCTGTCCACGTCAGACTGATGGGAGTCGCCCTCGAGAGGGAAACTAATCCTCTGCTGTGAGTTTGAGTGGCAGGAGAACATCCCACTGCCCAAGCCCCTCAATGTGCTTCCTACATTAATAATCCGGAGTAAGGAATCAGTATTCAACAATGTGATATATAAAAAAAACGGGAAGACAGAGCCGGGTACCTGAAAACATTGTGTAGAATAAAGAGGAACATTGGACACTTATACACACACAGAATAACATATGACAAGGCACGCAGTCACACCAGTTTACAGTACAAGAGTCTGGTTTGGGGGGAGTGGGGAGGAGGAGGTGACCATAAGCACAGTCAAAGAGGAAGCTCTTGAGGCGTGATCTGCGAAAAGGGGAAGGAGAAGGCAAGGTGGAGGGATTGAGAGAGAGAGTTTCATGGTTTTGGAGGTAGTGACCGAAAGCACGGCCGCCGATGATGGAGCGGAGGGGATGAGAGACAAGCAGGAGGCCAGAGCCAGCTAAGCAGAGGTGGGTGGTGGTGGAGTGGGGAGTAAACAGGTCGGAGAAGTCGGGAGTTGCCAGGGTACGAGAATACGGAGTTTAGAGCAGACATCTCTACAGCACTTTGATTCAGTGTAAAGTGTAATGACTTGGTGAACAGATCTCATTTTCTTCTGGCTTTGAAGGGTTAGGGCACAGATTGTAATTAGAGGGCTAATCAGCTACACTTCATCCAGAGTGAACAGATTGTTTTTACAACGAGAAAGGTGCTGAAAGATGGCGATAAGCCCACCATTCCCATCTGGGGATCAGCCTCTCTCCAGCCACTGGCATAATCCAGCAGCCAAACTCCCTGGGAATCCTAATCAAATAATTGGTGATTAGTCAGATTGTTAGTGACACACTGATAGAGTGGCAAAAATGACAAACTAAATACCCCAACTTCACCTGATTGAACCCACAGCTACTCTGTACAGTTACAAAGCAAGTAGCCCTCAATTACCCTGTGAAACAACATGCTGCTCTGCACTGTGAAATGACCTCCATTCAGTCAAGCAACAATTGCAATGCTTAATAATGAATTTTGATATTTTCAGACTTTAATTAGATATATCGGCACTTGCCCTTTCTTGTGTACAAGCTAGGTTTTGTTTCTATCCTTCGGATTCTTGGCTCCCACCACAGGGGCCTATGTTGATGCCAAGTGTGCAGAAGCACTGTCTTCACTCCTGACCACCAAGAACTCATAATACAAAGCTGGTGTAACTGTGACAGGTTTCCAAGTGTGTCAGACGCCCAGCTGACCGTAGTGATGGATTTCTGCATGTCAGACATCCTGCTGATCACGGTGATGGGTTTCTGCGTGTGTCAGATACCCGGCTGATCACGGTGACAGGTTTCCATGTCTCAGATCACGGTGATGGGTCAAACCCCGGCTGACTAACACCAAACAGACACTCACCGTTCAGCCAGCGTGAGTTGTACTGGTCGGTCCTCATGGCGGTCTGCGGTCCCATGGTTCGGAAGATAGCGGCATCGGTTCCCATGAAATCAATGTAGACGCCAGCATAGAGTTCCCTGTCTGCAGGAAAGGAATATTTCACTGAGAAACGGCACATTAACACATCATATTATGATGACCTCAGCAGCCCACTTGCAAGCCCTACGATGAAACTGACGCTTAGATAATAAATAAGAATACCATTCATCACCGGGACTCACAGCTTGGCTCAGTAGGTCGCACTCGTCTCTGAATCAGGTGGTGGGTTCAAGCCCTGCATCAGTCGAGGCTGATGCTGCAATGACGTGCTGTGGGGAACACTACATTGTTGGAGATGCCATCCTTCGATTTAGACATTAAATGAGATCCTGTCAAGGTGGACATTAAACATCCCATTGGCAATATTCAGAAGGAGAAGGGTGTTTCTCCCGATGTCCTGGATGACAATCCCCACAAAATAAAAAAAAGGTCACTCACTTCATGGCTGTTCATGGGGGACATTGCTGCATACAAACTGGCTGCTGAGATCGCCTACAAAATACAGCGCTGCACCTCGCAGTCAAATCTTGTGAAGCGATTTGAGACACCTCAACATGATAAGGCGCTGTACCAAATGCAAGGATTATATTATTATTACAGTACAGCCGTCTCTTTAATACCCGATCGGCACCTTGGGATGTCCTTCCGACGTGAAAGGCGCTACATAAATGCAGTTTTGCTTCTGTTGTTGTTGATCAGCCTGTGTAAAATCACGTGTTTTTTTTTCTTGTCCGTAGTTAGCTTTAATTTCTTCTGTTGTTTTCCTCCCTGATTGACCATACGGGCTGAGCTGAGCGTACAAGGGAACGTTGTATCCAATTACTGCACATCCAACAAAGCAACATAAGGAAGGCAGCACATTACAGGCTGCACGGAGCTGATCACACTGCTGTCACACCTCTGGGACCTGTCTCTGATGCAGTGTAGAATGTTGTCACCTCTGCCTGGGAGGAAATGCTCGTTGGACATCCTGAACAGACAGTGAGCCCATAGCTCCAACACGATCCTTACCGACTACCAAATGTCACTCAGATATCAGGCAATAACAGTGAGATAAAGCTCACAGCCAAGTTTCACAACAATAATAATCCTTGCATTTGATATAACGTCTTATCACGTTGTTGGAATGTCTCAATGCACTTCACAGGATTGCGTGTAGCTGGGTCCCACAAGCAGCCTTGAAGTGAACGCCCATTTTTTTATCTGGGGGTAATTGACAGCCCCAGGCCCTTTACCTCTTTGAAATAGTGCCAGATCTTTAATGTCTGCCTGAACAGGGCACTGATGGAACGTCGGTTGAACGCCTCATTCGAACCACAGCACTTCCAACAATGCACTGGGTTGTCAGCCATAGACACGGTCGCTCATCACATCCCATAGGACAGCAGGTCCATTCTAGGGCTTTGTCTTGGCAGTTCAGGGACATGACAACACATGGAAGTATCAAGGCTGTTGGCCAAAAGGTGGACAAGCTATTCAAACATCAACAGTGCCTTGGATTACTGGAGACCTGTTTCCTGTCTGCCTTTGTCTCCTCAGAGCCAGTCTAGGTTCAGGACAATAGATTTTATCTCGCTGCTTCCCAAAGAGGATGATTGTGGCTGTACTGCTCAAAACGGTGACATTATTGAGGAACCTTCGGCTAAGAGGTAAGCGAGCAAGGGGAGTGTAGGTTACAGAGGCTAGAGATACATACAACCAAACCGTGAATGTTTCTGAGAGGATAAGGAATGAGAAAATGGACATTTCGCCCAATATCTCAAAGGGCAACCAACTCAATTAGCAGCACGTCTTATGAAACGGACTGACATTTCAAGGGACATTAAAATGTCTCAAAACAGCCTGTGATAGACATCTGTAAGCTGGTGGTTAAGACAGGTTAGGAATTCTAAGCAGGAGTCTAAGAGCACATCTGGAAAGGCAATCTTTCCATGCAAATTCCAGTCCACATTCCAGGTGTTCATTGGCGAGCAGAATCTAATGACGGGCAATGGTACAGGATGAGTTAATGCGATGTCTTTGAGCACACACTGACACGCTCACCATTATAATGGCATTGTTTGGGCTAACATTACAGGACTTTGGGCTTGAATCAGCCACTGACAGTGATCTGTATTGGAAGTCACTTTAACTGGCCCTTTGGCAACAGTTATTTACAGCAGGATAACATCCAGTCACTTGACTTGTTCCCACCCGCTGCTTCCCTTCCCACCCCCCACTCCAGACCCATCAATCCAACTGATAGGGTTAAGAACGAGTAGTAAGGCACTCACTAATTAATGATGACACGCTGTTAAGCTTGGGGTCGTAGGAACATTTGCCTTTCCCCGATTCAACCTTTCCTGGCTCCAGGTGGAAGATATAGTCCTGTGTGTGAGAGAGTGAGAGGGGAAGAGAGTGAGGGGGAGAGAGGGGGGGGGGTGGCGGAGAGAGAGGGGGAGGGAGAGAGTGAGGAGGAGAGTGAGGAGGAGAGAGAGAGTGAGGGGGAGAGAGATGAGGGGGTTGAGAGAGTGAGGGGGAGAGAAAAGGGAGGGGGAGAGAAAAGGGGGGGGGAGAGAGAATGAAGGGGGCAGGGGGAGAGTTAGGGGGGTGGGAGAGTGAGGGGGGTGGGAGATTGAGGGGGGTGGGAGAGTGAAGGGGGAGGGAGAGTGAGAGGGGAGAGAGTGTGAGTGGGGGAAAAAGAGTGAGGGGGACGGTGGAGAGAGAAAGGAGAGGGAGAGACACAAAAACACACAAAGAGAGAGGTAGAGCAAGAGAGAGGGAGGAATAGAGAAAGAAGGAGAGATAGAGGCAGATTCAAAGGGAGAGAGAAACAAGGAGACCAACGGACAGAGGTAAGGTAGAAAGGGGGAGGGGGGAAAAAAAGGAACTTGTTAAATGTTTTCTTTGGCAGCAGTAGGCACATGGCTCTTTATATCTCAATATCAAGATAATAAAAGATTATCTTGCTTTATGGCCTCTGTTATCACAGACGGATTAAAGCACAAGGCTAATATCGAGTTGTAGCAATGGCCGCGTTTAGACTGGAAACTGAAAAGCTCGCTCTACTATGTAGAGAGACAGTGACACGGTTTCCTGCTCAATGTGCAACAGAGAAACCATACAAAGACTTTTTTTTTAGGATCAGCCGGGTGTTTTGACACCTATGGAAACCCATCATCATGTCTAAAAGTATCCAAACCAATCAGAGTTCCATGCCTCCCATCTACACTTGTCTCTCCTCCCCACCCCGCCCCAGAGATATTTATTGGGAAAGAAAAGGGGTCAATGTGGGAGTCAAACCTGCACACATGCAGTATGAGCCAGCTCTGGGCTTTATAAAGAAACACATTTTTGGAGTTCCAAACGTACCTGTAACTGGGAAACAAAAATGAGTCGCAAATGGGGTGGGAGCAGGTAAATGGGGAATAGAGTTTTCTGGTGGCATAATGAGTGGGGGTGTCTGGGGTAGTGGATGGTGGCGGGGGGGGGGGGGGGGAGAGAGATGAGTTAGTTGGGACGGCGGGTGTAGCAGAAGCTGTTCTTTGTGGAAGGCTGTGAGACACGATCTTCCCGACACGACCTCACTTTAGATGCTGGTTTACTTATGCTCATTCCCGAGGCTTCCTCTAACACTCACGTGTCATTCATCATCTGATAATGAATCTCTTTTTAAAAGCATCATTGCTCTCAGGCGATGCACTTGTCTCTGAAATCAGATGACTTGGCAGTAAACAGGCTACCTTTCCCATTCCCCTCAGAGCAATATTCACAGACGTTTGACATGCTTTCTGGATATTCAGTTTCAGAAATCGCAAATACACTTCAAAACACACTGACAGCAATTCCCAGAGCCAGTACTGCTCCCCCCACTCATATAACTGAGTAACACTGCTGAGAGGAACAGGACTTCCCACTCCCTCCCGATGACCTTTCCTCATGTCCTTAAAGATTCATCTCAACCTTCCTGTAACAGAGCACATTTGCGAGCGGCGAAATCTCCCACTGGCAGGAGTACGCTGCGTCCGAGTGAACGCCAGCCATGATTTATCTGTTCATCACCTCGTTCCCTGTCCTACTTTCTGCAACAGTACTGCCAGCACCTTTCGCTGCAAAAGTGCCAGCAGTATTGGGTCCGCAGTATTCCAGGACACTGCTGATGACAGCACAACCCGGCTTTGCTCACCAGCAAGACTTAGAAGGTCAGACCAGACATTGGGGACAGGGAACCATCCCACTCAGCTCCTGTTAACCTTGCAAACCAAAGGCCTATTGGGTAGTGTGCTCCTAGCTGGACAAGCAGCGAAAAGGCTTCTCAGGCAGTGCTATCATTGGCAAGCCATGCGGTTTTAGCTAGTTAGACTCCACCACACACACACTCTGGGGTCCCAAGCCGTGGTTCTCACCAACCTGCACTTAATAGCTTCTGGAATTGGGTAAGCAGGATGCATCTCTCCAGGGAGAGAGTGCGCATTCCATTCCAGTAATCTGTCTCTGGATTTTCCACGTGTAGGTGAGATGCATGGAAATCTCAGCTTAGTTTGGATACTGTTAAGCCTGGTGATGGGTTTCCGCATGTGTCAGACACACGGCTGACCTCGCCAGGCGGAACTGCTGCACACGCATAAAACACAAGGCGGCTGAAACAGGTCAGGGCTGTTCGCTGTTTTCAATCTCCCGTTGCCGACCAAGTGTGAGCCCTGATTTTCGACCCTTTTTCCCCATGGGTTCAGCAAGCCCAACCTACTGCTTTCCTGTCGTACAATCAGCCAAGTTTCGGAAACTTGCCCAGTTCTTGACCTTAATCACTAACCTCCCTGGTAACTAAACCCGGTTGATGATTACCTGCTGGGCAAATAAATCCTTCCTGACGCCCTGCCTAAATTTGCCCTTCACACCCCTGTGTGTGCTCTGGGATGTGAAGTTGACCTTCTCTGTTGGGCCCACAGACCTCCCTTGGCAGTGGAGCAGGGAGTCACGTTGGAAGGAAGATGGAATGAAGAGAATTTTCAGTGGCCCCTTACCTCAGCTTTACGGCCTCGGTTAACATAGCTGCAGATGGGATGGTAGGCCCCAGTGCCACATACGTACAGGTGTGTACGGTTCCAAGGCTGAATCAGGCAGATGAAGTTTGCACACTCTCCCTGTTACAGAGAAAAGGTTAAAAGAAAAAAGATGATTAAGAGTATGACCCACCAACTGTCTCACAAAAATTCCTGTGCTGCCTCTGTTCCTTGTGTTAGAATTATACTTTATACAAAAAGACACTAAACAGCTGGAGGTTTCATTGAAAGAACAACAGTCAGAAACCAACCGCCCCACACACCGCCCCACCCACCCTGATGGAGCAGGGAATGGCTGAGCTGAGACAATCTAAACCAAGCTGAGATCTTTGGAGTCCTGTAGCTCAGTGGTTAGAGCACTTGCTTTGCAAGCGAGAGACCTGGGTTCAATTCCTGGCAGGACGAAACCTTGGGCAAGTTTCCTTACTCCACACGCCTGATAATAATCCCTCAAAAAAAAATTGGTCATTTCAATCCACGACTGTTTGTGGGACACTGCTGTGCGCAATTGGCTGCCGCATTTCGCCCACAAATATACAGTCAATTCACTTTACAGTCTACTCTGTGAAGCGCTTTGAGACTCTAGAAGACGTGAAACGCGCTATATCAAATGCAAGGATTATTATTATTATTATAATCTGGAAAGTTACAAGATCGGTCCCCAATGTAGATCTCAGTAGGGTCACTACCAGGATTAGGAAGGAAATATACAACCATGGTTCCTGCTCCTGAGACCTCAAGTGAGATGGGCCTTTGATATAACACCTTATCACGTCGTTGAGACGTCTCAAAATACTTCACAAAATATACAGTAAAGTGAATTGACTGTGTATTTTGTGGGTGAAACGCACAATAAACACACCAGGTCCTCTTCATTGTCAGGTTAGGACTGGATCCGACTCAACTCCAAAACCACCGTGGTCCCTGTCGACACTTATTGTCAAGAGGCATACAAGACCAATGGACACTCAGGCAAGGTCACAGAGGGGACCTGGGCCATTTACCATGAGCACCAATATTGGGACAAACAATAGAGGTTGACGCATCTTGGACAACAACAACTTGCATTTATGCAGCGCCCCTCACGCAGGGCAGCATCCCAGAGCACGTGACAGTGGCGGAGCACACTGCTGGGGGTAGGGGAGGTGACCGTAGGCAAGATCCAATAGGAAGCTCTTCAGGCATGACCTGAAGATGGGGAAGGAAGGGGCACGATGGAGTAATAGAGGAAGAGTGTTCCAGAGTTTTGGGGCTTAGTGGCTGAAAGCGTGGCCACCAAAGGTGGACGTGAGGGAAAGGCAGAAGGTCGGATTGACAACAGTGGTTCCAAGCAGGAAGTTAATGTCCCGCATTCGGCACTTTCTCAATGGCTCCAATTACGTAGCAAGTTCCAGCTCCCATCAGTTGTTTGCTAATGAGCAGCACGTCAGCTTTGAACATAAGCAGCAAGCGTTAAGAGGAGGAAGATGTGGGCAGTGCTGGAGACTCCGGCACTGCACACAGCTGCGATCTCTCCGTGTAGCTGACCTACAATTACTCCATTCTCACTCTTGTCTGAGATGACTGATCGGTTCCAGGGCTGAACGCTAGAATTTCAGAGCCGGGGCAGATTGTTTGCAGTTTCCCCTTTGTCCCCAGGGAGCCAGGATTCAGTGTGTTATATACTATCCCCCGTTTTGTTTTGCTTGGAAAGCGGACTTGATTTTTCAACGGACAATTGTTTCAGGACGAGCGCACGGATTGTATTCGGCAGCGAAGGAATGTCAACAAATCCCAGGACACTGGTACAGACAAGGAGAGAGGAAGAGAGATGATTTAAAGCCCTCCAGACACACTCTTCCTCTCCAATGATTTGGGGAGAGAAGAGAGGAAAGGAGGGGAAAAGTACAGTGATCAGAATCTTTTCAGGCTCTGTAGTAGCTGTATGTATATATATATGTGTGTGTGATATAGAATTGCTTCCAGCGTGGCAGCAGCAAAACTAGATAAAATTTCTATTTTTCCCCACGAATTCCCATCGTGCAGTGAATGAGGCAGCGGTCTTCAGTGCCGGGCAAGCCACAGATTCTGTTGATGGCACGGACAATTGGGACGGTTAAAAGGAAACACAGCTGCAGATACATACAGAATGTCTGCGTATCTGTTAAAATAGCAACACGGGAAAAACACACAGCACTGAAACAATTTTAGATCATTGTTTATGAAAATATAGTCTGATTAGCTCTAAGATCCCACTATGAGTGAGTTACGCATCTCTGCACTGGATTACGGGAGAGTATTTATTTAATTCTTACATGGAAAAGGATGTAAGGGTGTACGTTACATGTGTAGATTATGCTGTGAGTGTTTATTTTTATTTTTTAAAAAAACAGATGAAGGGGGAAGTCCCAAAGTGCTGAAGACCACCTAGATGGAAAAGAATAGTAGAGACAAGAGATAAATCAAGGAATAGTTCATTCCCCAATGACCCATTTGTAAACTCTCTACCTAATGTACAACTGGCACATACACTTAGGAAGCTCTGTGCTGATCTACTTATGGATGACAGTGGTGTCTGTGCACCCCTGGGCTACGTTGGAGGTTAGTTTGCTCTGTACATTGCAAGCCAGGTAGCAAATTGGTTACTGTATGTTAAATGCATTGGAAAGAGTAGGGAATGGGATTAGAGCAGACAGCTCCAGTGGGGGAGCAACATGATGCACAGACACAATGGGAGAAAGAGATGGGCAAAGAAAAATATATATACAGGAACAATAATATATTGATATATAATATAGCATCTGTAAAGTCAAAGCACCTCCGAGAGTGAGAACACACTTACATTCTGATCTTTACCGGAGAGGACGCAATCGTCTCGTCGTTGCTGACTGACTGGCCAGTGGATCTGAATGAGACAAACAGCAGGAATCTTTATAAAACACACACCACCTGCAGGACACCATGAGCTGCTGGCTACTCTGTAAATCCATCTATAGTATCCCTATTACACGCTGAGCTACCCTTTAAGTCACGCAGTGATGTGATCATTGATGATGTGTGCAACAATGGGAATTCCATGAACAGCTGTCACCGTGGCACACCGTCACCAAAGCTTCTGCAATAACTAGTGCTTGAGCAGTGCTCGGGCAGTGCAATAAGAGCGAGTAGGAAGCCAGCGTTCTCTTACTATCAGGGGCTCCCTGTTGATGTTGTGCAGGTCCAGCGACACGATGTAGTCCTGGGTGCCCACGTACATCCGGTCGTGGTCCTCGTCCATCAGCAGCACGCGGTAGTCCGAGGTGTTGTGCAGGAGGCTGTAGTGCCGCGCCGTGTTGGAATTCTGCAGCTCTGTCAGGTAAGAGGAGCACAGACATGGTCAGTACCGGAAACACACGCTCCAGAGCCACAGCATCACTCCAGAACCACAACGTCACTCCAGAACCACGTCACTCCAGAATCACAACGTCACTCCAGAGCCGCAGCGTCACTCCAGAGCCGCAATGTCACTCCAGAGCCACGGCGTCACACCAGAGCCACGGCGTCACTCCAGCGCCACTGCGTCACTCCAGAGCCCCGGCGTCACTCCAGAGCCCCGACGTCACTCCAGAACCACAACGTCCCTCCAGAACCACAACGTCATTCCAGAGCCACAATGTCACTCCAGAACCACAAAAACTCCAGAACCATAATACAGTCCATCCAGTCAGCCACAGTGAGAGACTGGTACTGTAGTGATTTTCATATGTGAAAAAAACAACTTAGAGAGGAGAGAGGAACCTGATGTAAACAATCCCCTAAAAGTGATGTTGATATTATCTCTGTCATTAAAAGCATCTGAATAGTAAAATCTCCCTCTAAAAAGGGTGTTTATGGTAAAACTCTATAAAGGAGTCTGTCCGCTTATCTCTCAGTGTTTAAGAGATCCTGATGGTGGTTCTCCCCTGTTAAAATGTATCTAAATTCTCTTCAGCTGTTTGATGTTTACGAGCTATCTGATGTCTCTTTAAAGTGGTCACTGAGCTATAAGTGCTCACCGCAGCTTCAGGCCAGCAAGGTTTCAGTACAATGAATATACCATAATGGTTACTTTTGATATTAGTCCTTGCATTTGGTGTATAGCATCTTTCACATAGGCGGGGGGACACTGTAAAGTGTTGTGACTGTGTATTTTCTGTTCGACCCTGAGCTGTCCTTTCTCCCTCATATCCGCGCCACAACTGGCACCGCTTTCCATCACCTCCGGAATGTCGCCAGACTACGGCACTACCTCACCCCTCACGCGGCTGAAACTCTGGTCCACGCCTTTAACACCTCAAGGCTGGACTATGGGAACTCTCTCCTCGCCGGCCTTCCCGGCACCTCCCTCCACACTGCAGGTCATTCAGAACTCTGCAGCTCGTGTACTGTCCCGCACCAGGCTTCGCGACCACATCACTCCCACCCTCGCTCGCCTCCACTGGCTCCCCATCCCCCAGAGGATCGAATTCAAGATCCTCACCCTCACCTACAAGGCCATTCACGGCCTCGCTCCCTCCTACCTCTCCGACCTACTATCCCCCTACCTACCTGCCCGTACCCTCCGTTCCTCTGGCTCCGGTCTGCTCCACGTCCCCCGCCCCAACCGCCCTACCATCGGTGGCCGGGCCTTCAGCCTCTCAGCCCCGAGGCTCTGGAACTCTATCCCCCAGTGCCTTCGCCGCTTCCTCCCTTTCCTCCTTCAAGGCCGGTCTCAAGACCTTTCTTTTCGACCGTGCCTTCACCTCCCCTCTCGACTCTCTAACCCCTCCTCGCTCCCTCCCTTCCCTCCCCTCACCCTGACCATTTCCCCCCTGCTCAGGTCCTGACCCAACTGTACAGTGCCTTGGGACGTCCTCCCGACGTGAAAGGCGCTCTATAAATGGAATCTTGTTGTTGTTGTTGTATTCATAGATGAACGCTGTAGCCATTTTGCACACTGCAATGTCCCACAAACAGCCACAAAACGGGTGACCAATTTGATTTGGGGGATTGTTGGCCACCGACATCTTTGAGCTCACTGCAATGCAGTACTGAGGGAGACTGCAATGCATTCTCAGAGGTGCCACTTGTTGAATCGCTCTGGGACGCTACCCTGCAGGAGGGTCGCTATATAAACGAAACGCAAATCGTTGTTGTTGGAAGAGATGTTACAGGAAGCTGCCATCCCACCTGTTCTTCAGATGAACATTAAGGATCAAGTTTCACTATTCGAAAAGAGCAGAAGAAAGTTTCTCTGGGTGTCCTAGCCGACAATCCTCCACGTTAATGGGTCATTAATCTCATGGCAGAGCCTTGCTGTAGCAAAATTGCTGCCACGTTTGTCTGCAAAATTGGTCACTACACTTGGCAGGAAAGTGGCACCTCTGAGAATGCATGACCGCCTCCCTCAGTACCGCATTGCAGTGAGGTCAAAGATGTCTCACTGTACAAGGCACCTATCGAGATTCGTGTGTACAGTCACTGGGTGAAGATAAGACTGGACACGACTGAGATTTTCCCCCAACAGACGAACAACCTCCTGACTCATTGTGTAGACTCACCCATGGACAAAGCCCACTTGGATGAGGTGCATTGCGACCTCTCCTTTGGGGGATTGGACCAGTATGGTTTCACAAAGGTACACAGATAAACAGCCTATAGTTTAGGTTGTACAATAATTTATATAATAGCTCCCAAAGCCCTGTGGGGTGTGAGGAACCTTGGCCTCTTCTCTTCTACCCCACCCCAGCTGATATCATTGTCGCTCTGTAATCACCCAGGGCCCTTTATGTCTTTCAGTACTAGCTGCGAGAACAGTTACATTGCTTTCAAGACATCCAGAAGTAATTTTTTTTTCCTTTGAACCCTTAACAATATTGAAAGAGAGAAACTTTTGACTGCCAACCTAGGCTGGCCTCACACCCAGGTCCCATAGGTGAGGAGAGGACAAACCCGGAGAATAATGTCCTCATCAGTCACAGCACAGACCGAGGGCAGACCTTCTGCTCCTGTCTGGGCTGGACTGAAACCAAAGCCTCGGAGGTCAAAGGTTGCCTCATGCCCTTATTTTTGCAGCTGAGAATTACAAGCTTGTCTCTCAGCACAAAAACAAATGTGTCCAGGTATCTTGTGTGTGTGCTTTACTGGCTTTGTATTTATTTTCACAGTTTAGTGACAATGCAGGGGGAGTCCACCAGTCTCTCTCTGCGCTTTCCAGCCTCTATTTATTACCCTTTTCAGTTCTAATCGTGGGTCTTGAATAAGGGAGCTGTGGGAGTGGGAATGTAAGCTGATGCCTATTCAGGAGGAGGCCAACGTAATCACGTACATCTCCAACCAGAAGGTGTCTCAAGTGATTATTTGCCAAACTTCTAATCTTGCTGATTGTCCCACATCTCCCCTGCTTCGCTTTGTAACTAACAGTACAGTCACAATTTGTAAACCTCTCAGGCAAAGGCAGGCTTAGGCACGTTCCTAGCGGAGGTCAGCACTAACACAAATGGGTGTCAAAGCAAAATGACTCGCGCTGGATTCCAGCTCATTTTACTGTCTGTGTACATTTACATTAATTTGTTTGAATAAGGTCTGTGAAGCACAATGTCAGACTCGACAGAAAATACTGAGCACCAATGAGAGGTACCATTGACTCTGCAAACATCTGCTCAGTGACCTTGTTCTCTCTGTTCTGGAGGCACCGCTGAGGCTGAGACTGACCAGGGCTGAGGGGCCGACCACGTAGCTTCACTCGGGTGTTGTTGGGATACATGACCAAACAATTTACATTCATACAGCGCCTTTCCCCTCTCCAACCGCTTTACATTTAAGTGTGCGCAATTGGCTGCGCGTTTCGCCCACAAAATGTACAGTCAATTCACTTTACAGTATGTTCTCTGAAGCGCTTTGAGACGTCTCGAAGACGTGATAAGGCACTGTATCAAATGCAAGGATTATTACATTGTGCCTGGGCACCTGAGCTGAGAGGAGGGGGTGGCAAAGGGAGCTGACAAGAGTATATGTGTGTGTTGGGGGGTGGGGGGGGGGTGAGTGTGTGACCCAAAGTGCAGTCAACAAGGTTATTTTTTGAGGGGGGCTTTGAATGTGGTGGGGGGAGAGAGGGGGGGTAGATGAGTCAGACAGACTCCAGGATCCATAGAGCGGGGGGAAAAACACATTTCCGACTCTGTACGTTCCCTATAATGGCAGACTCCCTGTATAAGAGGGGTCCTCACTGTGCGGTTCACTAGACAACGAGATCAAACAGGCCAGAAAACAGAGAATCTATCCAGATTTACCCCTTTGCAGGTCAACCTCACCCATTGCCTCGTGTAAAGCAGGTCAAAGCTTGGATGGGATAGGGGGAGTCGGATTGGAGGGAGCTGGAGTGAGGGGGCAGGAGTCGGGGGAGAGGTGTGGAATGGGGAGAGGGGTTTGGAGAGGGGGAAGGCAAGAAGAAAGTCCAAACAATTGACAAAGGAAGCCAGGAATCCATGGCTGAACAAGCTGCTCTGATCATCTCCACACTATGGCTGTGCTATTCCAATTCCCCGCCCTCCTAACGCAAGCCTGGGTGGCAGCTCCACAGCTGATGTAATGTGAGGTTTGGCACAGGTGTAGATCCTGCAGGATCCATTCCTGAGCCGCACTAATCTCCGTGAAACCACAATCCCCACCGCCAGCAGCAAACTGGTCTCTGACAAGGGGCAGCACCACCTGCAGGGGTTACAGGGTTACACTCACACACCCAGCCCTGACCCTGACTCACACACTGATCTGATCACTGGGGCAATGCTGTCCACCACAGAGCACATGCTGCCTCAGGGAGGTAGGGAGTGTGTGTCCATGGCACGGAGGGAGAGGGCGAGAGAACAAAGACCTTCTGTATTCCAAAAGAAAGTTCAGAAAAGTTTGAGAAAAAAAGTTAGAAACACAAGAGGGAATAGATGAAAGTGTCGAATGTCAGTCTTTAATTGCTGGACACGCTTCACCACGCCTCACATTAACGTTTACAGTGAAGCGCTGTGAGATGTCTCTCTTAATGACATGTTAAGCTGTTATGTTAATATGCAAGGATTACTAGGTTTATTATTGTAAAATCACAATTGGCAACAAAAGCCTGAACTTTCCCCATCAGAAAGAGGACATCCACTTCATCTGTTCATCTGCAGCTAAAGCCAGGGGCGATCACTGTGCTCCAGACAGAGAGAAAGAACGAGAGCCACAGAGAGAGCAACAGACAGGAAGACACACAGAGAGAGACAGATAGAGAGGTGGGCAGAGAGACACAGGCAGAGCGAGACACAGAGTCAGAGAGAGAGACAGACAAAGTCTGTCTGTGGAGTCCTGTAGCTCAG